AATGATAGTAACAGGGATCCGCTAACTTAGTGGTTCTCCACCAGGGAGGATTTCGCCACCTTGGGGACACCTGGCAATGTCTGGAGACATACGGGGCTGTCACAACTGGAGAGGGGAATGCTACTGGTATCCAGTGGGTAGAAGTCAGGGATACCTCTAAACAAACTATGATGCACAGGACAGCCCTGAGGCTGAAAACCCCATACTAACCAAATGCTTAGCATGCTCACTAAACACGTCACATTCGCTGAGTCATTCGATCCTCTCTATAACACCAATTATAATAAGACCTCAGCTCGGTGGCCTCGGGCAAGGGTTTCAACTTCCCTGAGTCTCAGTTTCTATAAAATGTGGAAGATAATACTATTGTCCTGGCCTGCACGGTGGCTCACGCCTGTAATCCTAGCACTCTGGAAGGCCGAGGCGGGCGGATTGTTTGAGCTCAGGAGTTCGAAACCAGCCTGAGCAAGAGCGAGACCCCATCTCTACTAAAATTAGAAAGAAATTAATTGGACAACTAAAAATATATAGAAAAAATTAGCCAGGCATGGTGGCACATGCCTGTAGTCCCAGCTACTCGGGAGGCTGAGGCAGGAGGATCGCTTGAGCCCAGGAGTTTGAGGTTGCTGTGAGCCAGGCTGACGCCATAGCACTCTAGCCTGGGCAACACAGCAAGACTGTCTCAAAAAAAAAAAAAAAACTATTGTCCTGGGAACTTCTGGGAGTGGGAGGGTTAAAGAAACACTAACTGTAGCACTTAGCACAGCTCTTAATTTTCCCTTATTGTTATAATTCAGAGTGAGTGGACCAGGCAAAGGAAGCCTTGGCCATGTGTCACTGCTGCTATCTTGGGAGACAAATGGTAAGACAAAAAAGGTATTGTATTAAATAATCGCCAGCCTAGGCAACATAACAAGACCCCGTCTCTACAAAAAATATAAAAGCCAGGCATGGTGGCACATGCCTGTAGTCCCAGCTACTCCGGAGGCTGGGACAGGAGAATCGCTTGAGCCCAGAAGTTGGAGGCTGCAGTGAGCTATGATGATGCCACTGCATTCCAGCCTGGGTGACAGAGCAAGACTCTGTCTCAAAAAACAAAAAACCAAAGAAAATCAACAATAGTGAACATTTACAGAGCACCTGTTAACATGCCAGGCACTGTACTTAAGTAATTTACATACCCTGTGATTTAATTCTTCCAACAACTACTTCACTGTGGCCATTTTACACACGGGCCAACTGAGGCTGAATGGGGCTGAGCGTCTTGCCCAAGGTCACAGATGCGAGTCTGGCTCTGGTTCCTGCCCCGGCGGGGCTCCGGAGTAAGGGAGCACCCTGAACCTTCGCGGGCTGAGATGAGGGAAATGGGTGCGTGCGGATGTAGCCGTGAGAACTGAGCTGGCATGGGGGTCAAGCAGGAGGTGGGGGTCCGAGCCACAGCAGAGGTCCCAGAGAGGCCGAACTGGGGCAAAGGCCGCGCGCGCCCTGGGAGGGCGCTCCGCCTGTCCGCCCTGACCTCCGCCTGCTCGGCTGGCCCGGGTCGCGGCCCGGCGGTGCGGAGCCCGAGCGCACTCACCTCTGCGGAGGGGGCCGCAGGCCCGGAAGAGCAGCGAGGCGGCCATGGATGACAGCCGGACACGGCGCCGAACTTCTGTGCGACCTCCGACTGCGACCGCGCGGTTCCGGACTGTGGGGGCGGGGCCGGCGGGGCAGAGGCCACACCCCTTGAGCCGCGGGAGAGGGGGCGTCCCGGGGGCGGGGCGTCCCGGGGGCCGCCTCCCAAGATGACAAACAAATAAATTTCCTGCGCGCGTGAAGTCTCAGAGGTCGGTCTGCTAAGATCGTGCTGTGCTCTCATCCGTTAGTAAAAATGTCAGAAAAAAAGCCAAGAATAGAGCCTTGCAGAAAGGCCATAGAGCTCTTTTTAAAGCATAAATAAGACGGCAATCCTAGGCTTAATGGCTCCGTTCGCGGGCCCATCTCTCCTAAAATCCAATTCCATGCCTAAAAAGCTCTCTCCTGCCCCTGCCTACCTCTCTGGCCCCACGCCCAGTGTTTCCTGCAATCTTTGCTGCAGCCACACAGGAAGCTCTTCTCTAAAACCCACTAGCTTGCTCCTGCCTCTGCGCCTTTGCACTCACTGTTCCTCTGCATGGAATGCGCCTCTTCTTTCGGATCTCACCCAGGCCTGCCCTGACCACACCAGGCCCATGTTTCTCTCCTACTTGCTCTCTGTCCATCGCTCTCTTTATTCACGGCACTTCACATCGGAAATTATCTTACGTATCATTTCCCCAACTAGTCTCTTCGCTCCAAGAAAGTCAAGGGCCTTGTCTTGCTCTGGTGCTAAATATTTAGGAACTGGGTTCCATGGAACTGGGTTGCCAGGGAGGCAGATTTCTTTTCCCCAGAGGTTGTGAAGGTGGGATGGTGCTGCTACCTCTCCTCCACTGCAGGCCTATCTGTCCCACTCCTAACTGGGGAGCAAAGCCCTGATGGCAGCCGTACATTTGACCCTTAGCATCCTCACTAGGACACCTTCGCCCTGCCCAAGAAACAACGCTGATTTCACATGCCCCCCCAAGGGTCTTTTTGTTGACATAGGCGCAAATCTGACTCCCACAGCCTCCTGGGCACCACCGACGCCCTCCTAGGCACCCAGATATCCCTCCTTCTCCCAAAAAATTCAGCAAGGCATCTGTCCCCACCAGTGACCCACATGCCAAAAATTCTGTCTTCCTCCAAGACCTTGCTCTACTTCCTACAAAGAGAACTGAAAGATGTAACAAACTCCTTAATGTTACCTTTCATTAAAAAAAAAAAAATGCATTGAAAAAAAAACACCTCTAAATCCACAGTACCTTAAAGTCAAATGAATGACTGTCACAGGCAAATGCTCTGAGGTCTTCCTCACCTTTAAGTCATCCCACCTGGGCACCAGCCCTGGGAGGAAGAAAAGAAGAAAAAGTAGGAGAAAGGAGGCAGAAACAAGTGAATCACGTTTGTGAGCTGAGGCCAATAAGAACAGCTTCAGGTGCCACAGAGCACCTAAGCCAGACTCTTATTTTAGAGCTGTATTTGTGACTGTAAAAATGGATGTAAGTTTTATGTTAAAAGTTTACAGCTTTCCCAGCCTGAGCAAGAGCGAGACCCCTCCTCTACTAAAATTAGAAAGAAATTAATCGGCCAACTAAAAATATATACAAAAAATTAGCCGGGCATGGTGGCGCATGCCTATAGTCCCAGCTACTCGGGAGGCTGAAGCAGAAGGATCACTCGAGCCCAGGAGTTTGAGGTTGCTGTGAGCTAGGCTGACTGACGCCACGGCACTCACTCTAGCCCGGGCAAAAGAGTGAGACTCTGTCTCAAAAAAAAAAAAGTTTACAGCTTTCCCCATAGAGACATAATCAGACGGTGGTTACAAGAGGCTGGGGCGAGGCGAGAGAATTGGCTGCGAACACAAGGACTCATGGGAACTTTCTGAGTGGGTGTGATGGAAATGTCCTATATCATGATTGTGATTGTGATGGGGTATTAAGATTACACATTTGCCAAAACGCATCAAACTGTACTCTTAAGTGAGATGAATTTTACTGTAGTTAAAAGTATAACTTAATAAGCCTACTTTTAAAACGTGTATGTAAATTTTCAATTCTTTTTTTTTTTTTTTTGAGACAGAGTCTCACTCTGTTGCCTGGGCTAGAGTGCCATGGCGTCATCCTAGCTCACAGCAACCTCAAACTCCTGGGCTCAAGCAATCCTCCTGCCTCAGCCTCCTGAGTAGCTGGGACTACAGGCATGCACCACCATGCCCGGCTAATTTTTTCTATATATGTATTTTTAGTTGCCCAGATAATTTCTTTCTATTTTTAGTAGAGACGGGGTCTCGCTCTTGCTCAGGCTGGTCTCGAACTCCTGACCTTGAGCAATCCACCCGCCTCGGCCTCCCAGAGTGTTAGGATTACAGGCGTGAGCCACCGCGCCCGGCCAATTTTCAATTCTTAAAGCCACCCTGGCGAAATATAAAGCAAAAATGCTAAACCTAAAGCACAATACTATTCCCCAATCACCCCAGAAGGCAGCTATTAGTATCATACCAACTCATTATAACTAATTGCAGAAAGCCCACATATAGGAGCCAAGACAGCCAAGATAGGAGAACCCCCCAGGCCCACCCCCACCCCACACCAGCTCCCCCCAGGAAGACAAGGGGCCCAGTCAAGAGACAAGACAGGGTAGACATACTGTGAAAATCTTTCTTTTATTATTGTCTCGTGGCAAAATAACATTTTATACAAATAAGTCACCTAGTTAACTCTGGACACAAAGACAATACAAACTGGAATGAGGATCTTGGGTGAAGTGGGAAAGAGGAGGAAGGTCAGATCAGGTCATTGATGTTTCTTATATTCTGTGAAAAATAGATTTACAGGGAAAAAAATAGAATTTCACAACTTCAATGACTCCACATGATCTTTTGTAAAACAAGGGGTAAATCCACCTCCCCAGATCCTTCTTGTGGCTAAGACGTTCTGTGACACGGAATGTAACATGACGGTTCAACGATTAGACTCCTATCCAGGTACAGCAGCACCCACTGCGACAGGAACCTTGTTCGCTGCCAAGGAGCCTGCGCTGTGAATTTTAGGACACACTGTCCCTATCCCCAAACCTCAATTGATGTCATGGTGACACTGGCCACCAAAAGAAAGTGACTTTACAGAGAAAAAAAAAAGAGCCTGGCTCAGTGGCTCAAGCCTGTAATCCTACACTCTGGGAGGTTGAGGCAGGAGGACTGCTTGAGCTCAGGAGTTCAAGACCAGCCTGAGCAACAGTGAGACCCCATCTCTAGCAAAAAGAAAAAAAAATTAGCTGAGCAACTAAAAATAGAAAAAAAAATTAGCTGGGCTTGGTAATACCTGCCTGTAGTCCCAGCTACTCAGGAGGCTGAGGCAGAAGGATCACTTGAGCCCAGGAGTTTGAGGTTGACTCCACAGCACTCTAACCCAGGCAACAGAGCGAGACTGTCTCAAAAAAAGAGTACCCTGGGAGCCTACCAGGGGAGCAGGACACACTAAGGCAGGACTCACCCAATTTGTACATTAGACACAGCCTATTAAATCTATTCCAGACATAAGTTCCACTTGAACTGAAAAAATAAGTTGAAGATGGTCCAATCACTGCCATTTCAAGAATCAACAGTCTACAGTTAACCCCAAACACCACCAAATCACTATTCCTATGTATTGGAAATCAAACAGCCCAGAGACTGAGGTGTTTTCAGGAAGCACATGCCCCTGAAAACTGCTTTCTTTACAAGATAGTTCTGAGCTAACACATAAGGAGACAATAGCCTAATTTAGCCCCAAGCTACTTTTAGGTGTTATTTCCTCTGTTTACCCTTTAGAACATAGAATAAAATAAACCAGGATCTTCTTTGGAGAAGCTAGAAGGGCATCGTAGCCCAAAGGCTGTATAGGAAAAGAGAGGCCCTCTCCAGGAGAGTCCAAGGCAGAGGGACAGGAGCAAGACTGGAGGGGAGAGGGTGCAGGTAGTAGGTCCTATGGCACCAGGCGGGCCTGCCACTCTGCTGGGATGTGCTCCCTGGAGGAGCGACCCCTCAGATGCCGACCCTTAACAAAGGGCACAGTCCCCCATGCAGGTAGTTTTTTCCCCTCTCGTCGCATCACCCACAAAATAACTGCCATCAACAGTCCGGATGCCTTAATAACATGGCAGCCTGCTTCACTGTCTGATTGGTTCTGTTATGTTCAGAGGAGGTATGACTTCCAGTTTTTTCAACTCAGGTACAAATGCTTGAATTTCAAACTCATGCTGGTTAATACCCCAGAGTGGTAATGCTTCTCAAGATTTCCTGAGCAGCTAGACACAGGAATCCAGAGCCCTAGATACAGAACACCAGACCTTCAGGAGCAGAAGATGGCAAATCCCTGTCAAGCTGGGCATAGACCGAGCGCTTGGTCTCAAATGGTGTCCAGTGAGACTAAGGCTAGCTAATAGGAAAGGGGACACAGCACTACTCAAGCCAGAGTGCTCGCCTCCCCCATCCTCCTGGTCCACTGCCCAGGCAAAGCTATCACTGAGGATAAGAGCCCACTAGTGAACTAGAGACGGCTGCCTGGGGCACATTTCCAAAACACACTCAAATGAGCAGAGCTCTGGGCAGCTTCAGAAACCGCAGTCTAGATGTTATTTAAATATCAAATAGTAGAAACTCTCCCAACTGGGCCTCTGTCACAGGGAGAAGGGATTGTTGTTAAGCTTGACAGGAACATGCAAATCCCGTTTGAGAAGCCACAATGAGAAACAGAAGGTAAGAAGACAGTGCTGATGCCTGTCTGCAGACGAGGAGGGGGTAACAACAGCAACACAGCTTCCCCCAGCAGCCTAAGGGACAGAGTCACACATAAGGCACCGTATCTGTAACCGAATCCAGTTCTGAAAGTCACCAAGTCTGGTGACGAGGAACCCACTGCACAGGGTGCATGGTCTGTTCCCTCCCTCAGGGTTGAACCCAGTGCTGGCACAGTGGGGTAGTCTTGGGCTTTCTCAGTTGAGAAAACTGCCAACATACGACATCACCAAGACTCTGGCCCGGCACAAAGCACGGGGCCAAAGTTCAAAACCACTCACACTCTAGAATCCAAACAGGGAGCAACACTGGTCAATGAACACGCAGGAACTTCTGCGGCAAAGTGGTGTCTCTGCTTTCCCTGGTCCCACATGGCCTTTCTCCCAAGCCCCTTGGGTCACAGCTCTCCTGTCACAGGTACTATATGACACCCACAGTGACTTATCACACCCGTGGGTCCTCCCTACTGACACCCTTCTATCAATGCTAAATGGACCCTGGCCACATCAGTCATCTCATCAGAGGGTCACGGATTCTGGGCTGAGCTCCTACAGCCATCCACGCAGACAACCACAGGGAGCTGAGGAGGTGAGAGTCCGTGGGTTAGGGTCAGAGGACACAAGCAGCCCACCTGCATGAGACACGGGAGGAAGCTTTTCTGAGAACACATCACTCTGACAGGCCACCTCACCTACTTCACCCTTTCCAAACACCCAAAACAATTCCAACTTAGCAGTTTAAAGGATCAGCACATACGTTACTTAGATCTGATCTGCTGGAATGGTTCCAGAAACTACTTCAGTAGAAAGGCAGAAAGGAAAACCCTCCTAAAGAAGAAATCCACAAAGAGCTCCAGAGGCAAACCCCATCAAAAGCCAATCCTCCTCCAGGCTGTGCTGTGTAGAGAAAATCGAATCTCTCCTTTAAAGCGGCCACTGGTTCATAAGTACACTTCCCCCAACATGAGCCAGATTAGCCCCGGGAGCCCGATTAACAGATCAGAACTCTTCCCGCACGTCACATATACTGGGAACACCACTGACATTTTATAAAACCTCCTACAAAGAAGTCTGGAAATAAAAAACCAAAATACAACAAGACCTGCTCTGGCCTTGAGAGACATTGGCGTTCCACGAACAAAACTGACACGTTCTATTTCATGAGATGCTCAAAAGTTAGGAGCCAGGAGAAGCAGAGCAAGCTCATCTGTCCTCCAAAGTGAGAAGAGGAAGGCACTGCCAGGCTGAAACCTTGGTCTATCCCCAGGAGGGGAGGCCGAGGGCGCTGGGAGTCAGACAGGTCAGCAGGCCTCTCCACAAAACGGACCTCTCGGTTTGGCAGCATCGCCCGTGCCTTGATGCCTCAACCCTTTACACCACCCCTCCCCTCCACTCCTTTCAAGTTCCTTCCAGTTGTTTTAAGACGAAGCACAGGCTGAGGGCAGACTGTGCTGACGGTGACACCGCAAGTGAGAGGAGGTGGTGCCTGGAGAAGCCCACCCTCCAGCTTCCCGCAGCAGCCAGGAACCTGGAGGAGAGCTGCTGAACTGCAGGCAGGCCCAGCCGCAGCCTTCTCACCCGCGCACGTGTCTGGAGAGACCGAGGCTTGTCAGCACAACCGGTGAACAGCTAGAACTCCATGAAAATTGACTTTTTTATCTGGATTCCAGGAGCCTTATCCTAATCTTTTACTTTACTATAGTACCTCTGCGACCTAAGGGGCAGGGGAAGAAGGGGAAGGAAAAATACTGCAGAAGAGAACACAGCACTGCCTGGCACCTCCCTTGGAGCACAGGAAACTGCCACCTCAGCCTTGGCACCTGGGGCAAGGTTCCAGATGTGTGTTGACAAACTGCAGCTTCAGTCGCCTCTGTGTGCCAGGGTCTTGTGGCTGCAGCAAAGCACCTCCCCTGCCTATTCCTGAGGCAGTTACTGGCCCCCGTTATAGGCATAATCAGCCTTGTTGTGCATTATCAGCTTGTTGTCAACAAAGTAGAAGCTGTCAGAGCGGGTCTCATAAGGATTTTCAATCATCAGACGAACTGCAAATCAGGGAAAGAAAAAAGAGCAGTTACATGTGAGTCTGCCACACGGGCTAGGTGGGGAAAAAACCTAACATCCCTCCTAAATGAGAACAGGAGGCACTGCCAGGCAGAAACCTTGGTCTGTCCCCAGGAAGACTGGCTGAGGACCTTGGGAGTCAGACAGGCCTCTCCACAAAACGGACCTCTCAGTCTCGCAGCATCACCTGTGCCTTGATGCCTCAATCCAAAATAAGGCAGCGTTGCCAGAAAATATAAGTATGCGCTACCAGCACAATGAGACTGGACCAGAGGGAGCCAGCCCGACAGCTGGGGAGACCGCAGAGGCCCTCTAACTGAACATGATTTCCCCTTCAACACAGGGAAGCAACCACCTCTCTGACACGGCCTCCTCAGTCATCTCCAGCCTGGGATCTCACACCCTCCCGCCAGCATGGCCCACAGCGGCCTGTTCCTCAGTGCTCTCAGCTGACCGAAGCAAGCTCCAACCTCTGATCTGTGGCTCCCCTCCAGACAGGCGAGTCCCAGCTCAAAAAGCTGCGCCTCTCTGTGCCCACGTCCCACAGGCAACCAAAGGAATCCTAGCTGTCAACGAGCACTGGGAACACAGGACAAGCAGCCTTCTCCAGAGACCGCTCAGGTATTAACTCCCAGATGACCCAGCACTAGGTCTGCCTGTCTTGGGATCTAAACTGAAGTCTCCTGTTTACTGAGGTAATTGCTCAGACCTCTTTAACCATACTGGAGAGTAAAGATAATTAATAGGCACTACCTCTGATCGGTTTAGAGTTAATGATTACAAGCCATTTAAGTCCTCTGGAGGAAATGCTATTTGTTCACCACAGTTCTCAAAAGGTGAAACTGATTCTTTTAAATTTATCTGAACCCATCCAGGCCAACGCTATTTGGTTTATATGCAGAATATCAACCTCTACGCTCTTTTAGCTGATCTGGTTTCATGTGTAAAACTTATAACTCCATATATAATCTTTTCTTGCAAGTATTTACATAATCTAGCCAGCTTGGGGAGAGGGGTTCAAGCCAGGATCAGATGCTGACAGAAACACCCTGCCCTTCATGTCAGCAATCCTCATCTTACCTGGGAACAGCATTGCCACATGAGTAAAGAGTACCTGCATTTCAGAAAATGACAACCTTCAAGGACCTGAGATTCTGAGAGAACCAGTCAGCATATGTGGATCCTTCCCCACGATGCAACTAAAGCCCACCACCATATACAGGATTCCACTCACATTCTCATAAATGCCTTGAAGCCAAGAATGCGAACCTGAGATAGCTAGAGCAAAGTCACAAACTGACAAAGGCTGCTTTTTCCTCTAATTCGGTAAAATATCTTCGGTCTATTCACTCTAATATTTTCCCTCACCTAGGCTTCATGGCAGCCTTCTCCCTCTGGAGCCTCCCCCAGTTCCACCTGCATAGCCCTACGGGGCCGCTCTTCTACGACAGCGCTTCCATCCTCTCACTCCTGCTCCAAAACCTACAAGAGTTCCCTAGTTCCTGCTAGTCTAACAGTTCATCTAATCAGCCCTCTGCTTTGCAGAGAATGAGAAAGAGGAGGTCGTCAGGCCTTGATTCTGTTTAGCCTGCAGTTTCGCATCCAGCTCTGATTAAGGAAAGAGTGAAGGGCCAATGGCTAGGACACAGTGGAAAACCATGACTGACAGTGGACAGGAGAGGCACTTTATCTGATGGCAATTCCAGGGGTCGTCACAGGCCTCCTCCTATCTCCCTCTGGCACTGCCATTCCCACGGCAGGCATCTAAAAGGATGGCCTGTATTATTAAAACCTTCATTGCTCCCAGAGAGGCAGAGTCAGGGTTTGAAACAGGAGCCAGGAGCCATAGGAAATGAGAAGCCTGAGGTCAAGTGACTAGATCCACATCATGTCACTATTGCATGTGACTGAACAAGAGCACTGGACCAAATGGGTTTCAAGGTTCCTTCCTTCTAGCCCTCAGAGCTAGAAAGCTGTAAGAGGCAGGGAATACATACTGACATCCTCAGAAAGCTGGGGAAACTCATAGATATGTTCACAAGTGTTCCTGCTGCTGGGGATGCAGAAGCCAAAATCAAAGTCAAAGTTTTTCAGCAAGCGTTCCCGGAAATAGTGCCGTTCGATCATCCGGAAGTTTGACACAGGTTTGTCTCCCACTGTGAACTCCACCCTGCAAAATAAATCTCTGTGAGCCCTACTTTGCCTCCAAAGCCAACCCAAAACCCAACAGAGAATACTGGGCATAAGTAGAATGTTCTCCCCTCAGGAAATAACGGTACTCACGTAGCCCCAACCGTCCGGAGGCGGAGAAATGCTGGTGTGAACTGATAGCGGACAAAGCGTCCTGCACTGATATCCACAACTCCACCTTCCTCCTCCTCCTCCTCCTCCTGGTCTGAAAGAGCACACAGAATCTTCAGTGCGCCATCTTGGCACTGAGAGTCTAAGAGTTCTAACACCAGTCCAAACAGCACGACAGCAACCAATTCACAGCACCAACGCCAGCAGTAAGGATGGCTGGTATTTACTGCACACTTGCTGTACGCCGGGCCCTGTGCTAGATGCTTCACAGAGTCCTCACAACCACCCTGTGAGGTGTTATTATCTCCAGTTTACAGATCAGGAAGCTCAAGTTCAGAGAGGTTAAGCAGCATGTTCAAGTCCCTCAAATAGCAAATGCAGGGAACAGGGATTTGAACCCAGGTCCACCTGACTCGAGGTCTATTCTTCAATACTAAGCTATTTGCCTTTTATTTGGAGGCTTAGGCCACATCCTAAGGGTAAAGCCTGAAACACAAGCTGGGTACTAGGCCCCTGACATGGTCTATATTATACAGACTAGGTCTGCTGTTGACCAAGCTGAAGTGCTAACCACTAACCAAAAGAATGAGACTGCAAAAGTTGACATTAATCAAAATGTTCCTTCAAAGAATACAAAAATTCCTGATGGGCAGCAAGACAAACCACTAAAAATAATTTTTGTTATTCAAATGGAAGACACTGACCTACGGCCTTGGGTACTATACTTCCTTGGACTGATGTCTATTCCAGGCCACACCAGGCCTGATGCTCTGACCACCTGGAAAGGGTGAAGCAGATGGGCAATGATGCAACATGTGGGGCTTCCACAAGCTTAATGCTGGTCTCTGGTCTAGTCCATTCCTGAATCCAGGAGACGAAATATTTGTGAGATGAATCAGAGAAGCATTCTAATGTGAACAAGGAATTAGTACCCACCAGTGTCCAGTAAGGACATTTTCTCCAGGTCTAAGCTGAACATGGGTACGATATAAGACTTTTTCAGCATCAAACATCTCTGCCTGTGACTAGCCCAAGAGCAAGTGGGCAACCAGACCGAGTAGGGGTTCATACCCAGAGACTCTAGAACCCTGGCTCCAACAATGTGATGATTCAAAGAGAGTCAGACCAAATCTTCTCAGTGATTCAAATTTATAAGAACAAGTGCTGTGCTTACTTTGGCAGCACATATACTAAAACTGCAACAATACGAGATGATTAGCATGGCCCTTGCACAAGGATGGCATGCAAATTTGTGAAGCATTCCATATTTTTTAAAAATAATTTTAAAAAAGAACAAGTGCTGCATGAAGGTACTGATCTGATGTGAAGGTATTCTAAGTGAATCGAGATCCTTTTTAATTTTATTTTTTGTAGAGACAGGGTCTTACAGTCAATCAGGCTGGCCTCAAGTGATCCCCCTCCCTCAACATCCCAAAGTGCTGAGATTACAGGCATGAGCCACCACGCCTGGTCCTGAATCAGATCCTAAAATGTAAAGACTGGAAAGGTCAAAAATCAAGTTACTTTACAGTATCTGCAGCTGATCTTCTTGAGACAGTTAAGTTTTGTACTGAAATGACTACTCTGAGCCCACTCTATCCAGATCCACATAACTATAGTAGCCCTGGGGTCCCTGAAATATCCTAAGTACTAGGACATGTGGCTTAGGAATGAAAACACCACAGATCCAGAAAGCTAGCTGGCCCTGAGCTGACTATACCAATAAAAGATAAGTATCCACAAGGTACCTTAGTCAGTACTAGATTATGATAACATAAAGAATACTGGGGGCCAGGACCGGTAGCTCACGCCTATAATCCCAGCACTTTGGGAAGCTGAGGCAGGAGAGGATCACTTGAGCTCAGGAGTTCAAGACCAGCCTGAGCAAAAGCGAGATCCCATCTGTACAAAAAATACAAAAATTAGCCAGGCGTGGTGGTACACACCTGTAGTCCCAGCTACTTGGGAGGCTAAGGTAGAAGGATTGCTTGAGCCCAGAAGTTTGAGGTTGCAGTGAGCTTTGACAACGCCACTGTACTCTAGCCAGGGTGACAAAATGAGACCCTATCTCAAAAAAAAA